TTGATAATAATAATAATAATAACAACAACAACAACAACAACAACAACAACAACAACAAATATGTATATGTTTCTTCAACAGCAAATGAGCATATTAGAATTATTTCTTAAGGATCATGTGACACTGAAGTCTGCAGTAATGAATGATGCTGAAAATTCAGCTTTTTGATCACAGAAATTCACAGTATGGTGAGGGGCGTAACATTTCCGTCTCATGCTTGAGGTATTCGGCCAATCACAACGCACTGGATAGCTGGCCAATCACAGCACACCTCGCTTTTTCAGACCGATGAGCTTTGTAAAAATCGACGTGTTTCAAAAAGGCGGGGCATAGAGGAGAAACAATAATGTACAGTATGTGGAAAATAATGTGTTTTTTTTTACTTTAAACCGCATAAACACATTTCATTACACCAAATACACAAAATAATGTTCTTTTTAGCAGCATCATATGACCCCTTTAAGATAAATAACATTCTTTGCTAACAAATTTAAATGAGGTGAATGCTTTTTTTATGTGATGGCCATACAAATAACAGGGTTGTCTGATTTCAAAAATTGTTGTGGATGTATAGGCTATATACAGGAAATAAGGGGCCAAAATTGCACCTTTTGGGGTACAACAGTAACCTTAAAAGGACATATTTGTTCCTTTTTTACCCCTAAAAGGTAGGCCTACAAATTAGTACCTTAAGGGTACGAATTACTACTCTTAAGCTACTAATATGTACGGTGTAGGCCTACTGCTACAGTGTCAAGCTGTTGTACCCCAAAATGTACAATTTTGGCCCCTTTTTTCCTGTGTGGCCTGGATGAGTGTGAGATTTCCCGACCCTGACGTGACGTCATCTCTGTGATGTTGCAGAAACACACTATACATCCTTGATTTGGTATATTAATTGCATCTTATTTTTGCGCATATACTTGCGTATTTTAATTTTGATTTAAATTAATTGTTGACATAATTATATTGTTTTATTCTTAAAAAAAATACGTTATTAAATTACCATCATTAATTATAATGTTATAATGGCCACAGCCATAGACTGTAACAACATAATTTTCGCCATTTCACTTCTTTGAAAACCACCTTTAAAATTCACATATCAGAAAATCATTTCATACTTGGAACGGCTATTTGTAAGGAACCAGAGCCTTTGAAAACAGCTCTGTATGGAACGGAGAACTAAAAAGGGGCGGGGTTAATTTGTTTCGGAAGGCTGACTTCTCTCATTTTATCGCTTCGCTGTGTTTTTAAGTCAGTGTATATTCATTGTTGCAATTTATTAATCAGTTTATTTATTTATACCATGAAGTACGACAAAAACATCATGAGATTTGAATGTGTTGCCATCACGTAAATCTGACGTGACATGGCTCGAAATCGAAACTTAACAGCTGCTGCCCTATGTAACAAGCAGAGAAATAAAAGAGAGAAGGAAGAAGAGAAAGGGTGATGCTTTATTCTTAAGACATAAGAACAGTTGTTTGTAAGTATTACATTTATGTTATTGTATCTCGTAAGTGCTACATTCTATCTCGCAATCGTGAGTTAAAAAACTTGTTACTGTAATTCTCGTACTTGTGACACTGTTTCTCAGTATTTAGTGCTTATTGAATGTATGGTAGTTCGACAAAGGTAAATATAATATAAAATATGTAAAGGTGTAAGATTATGTACATATGGCAGTTCAACAGATATTAATAAGCTATACAAAATGAACTAATGAATGACGTCTAATGTTGCATAATTGTCATATTGTTGGTATATATTGGATATAATGCATGCGGTGACTAATGAGCTAACTATGCTTTATAAGCATATGCTGAATAAACTTGTTCATGTCAGGTTTAACTTGACTTCATCGTAATCACTGTCAGGAAAGGATCAATCCCTAGAACAGAAATCGAACCTGAAACTCACAGAAGTGAACACAAACATATTATGTTCCCTATTAAAATGGATAAACCACCGTGTTCACCAAGGTAAGTAAATTATTCAGTATTATTTTAGTTAATCAGTGTCAATGTTTACAATGTTTACAAACATGTTTGTGTTGGTTAGACTGTGTAATTTTTAGATTTCAAAATGCCAAGCTACTTTTGTCATCATAGATATTATGCTGCTACGGTATTTTATTTTGAATAGACTAAATGTATAAGCAAAACAACAGGAGTTGTCATTTTGTTTTCTGATACAGTCATACTTGCTCAGGAGAGCCCCCTGTAGGCTGTAATGACACTACATCAGGTCTCGTAGACACCAAAGTTCAGGGGAAAACTGCGAAGCAGAAAAAGAGACAAAGTGCCACATCCCAAATGAAAACAGCCAGTGAGTGCTCTCAGGTCACTGTTGAAGAGCAGTCATCACCCTCACAACACCTGCCTGAGCGCCTTGAAAACAGGTCTGCAGGATCAAAGCACAAAAAGAATACCCGAAAAACAAGAAATCAATCTATTTCACCTGCAACTTCTCCTGCAAGTTCCTCTCATCAAGATAAAACCCAGAGTGCACAGCAAACATCAGCTCGCTTTACCTCTGACCAGTCAACCCAGACAGAGGCTTCCCAACTCCAGTCTGTCCAAACACAGTCAACACAAACCCCTCCGATCCAGGATATACACACACCATCAACAGACTGCAAGTCCACCCAGACAATACAGTCTAGTTTTTCCTTGCAACAGGCATACTGGGGAAGATCTTTCACAGAACAGTCAGCTGATGAGCAGAAAACTCAGTCCAGTCATCTGACACTGATATGCTGGAATATAGATGGTCTGGATCCAGATAATGTCTTTGAGCGGGCCAAAGGTCTGCTTTCACACTTAGGAAAGTAAGTGTTACCCATTTTTTTTTTATATATATATATTTTTAGGATGCAAATTTCTTTAGACCACATTTTAATACAATATGTTAACATTGTAATACAATGTCCAAACATTAATACAATATGGACAGGTTTCTTATGCACAGATTTAATGATGACTAAATTCAGTATGTTTGTGGTGAATAGCATTTTTAAATCATCAGGTTTAGGGAGTTTAGAGAGCATAATAGTGTTTGCTTAATTCATATTATTTTATATTTAAAGGTGAAGTGGCAAATGTTTGCAGTACCAGTGGCACTAAACAGAATTTTAAAAATTATGATTTTCAAATAATCAGTTTTCCCTGAACACTCCCGTTTGTCATTGGTTAGACAAACAGGTAGTCCTGCCCCAAACTTGTTGAGCCAGTGTTAATATATACTAATAGATATACTCAAAGAAGCAATCAATGTTTTGAACCTACAAATAGGTTACTTGTTTTCTTTTCATATTATGTTGTAATTATTTGAACATTAATGACATTGCACAGAATGCACACATCATGTCTACAGCATTTAATACTCTCAATTAACTCAAAATACTTAATTTATTACAAAACCACTTACAAAAAGACTTGAATGAATTACCAAGTTATGATTTTAACACAGGTACCGTGCAGATGTTGTACTGTTGCAAGAGCTGGTTCCTGTTAGTTGGAAGATTTTAAAGAACATTATGAAGGATTATCAGTTTTTGCAAGGTATGTCCATGATCGCATACAATATAAATAAATAGTGTTTCTGGTATGAATCTTAGATCATTTGGTGTTTCAGGCAGTGAAGATGGCTATTTCACTGGCATTTTGCTCAGAAAGGACAGAGTGCAATTCCTCCAGAGCAATATTGTGAAGTACCCCAC